TTACAGGGGTGTTCAACTCTGGTGTCCTAATTTTAGATTTGTCCCAGCTGCAGCACAACTGGTTTCCATTGATGGTTGATAAAGGCTTTTGCTTAACTGCTCATCAGACTTAAAGCGCGTTAAATGAAGGAAACAACTAAAACATGCAGGAGGACCAACCCCCAAAGGACTGACTCTGGAAAAGCAAGGTTTTAATTAATCCAGCTGATGGAAAGTATCTCACAAGTCTAAGCTTTAATGACATACAGCACCCATGAAACTATTTTCCCACTGATGAGATCTTCAGAAAACTGGCTGCTTTGTTTCCTCTTTATTATACAGAAGCCTTCATGTCTCAGTCACTACTTCCTTGGTTCAGTGTTTTTAAATGTATAAACTTAGAGGAGATTTTTGTTTGGAATTATATCACATGTTTGTTTACATCTTAGCTATTTTTGGACATTTATTGATCCTCTGGGTGCAGCGAGAATTCCCTCCTGTTGGTGAGATAAATCCCAGAGGTTAAATGTCATCAAACCCCAGGATTTCAAGCTGATTTCAACTAAAGCAGATTGTTAGATAACTACAGTCATGGAAAAAACACTTTTTATGACTCTAAAGTTCTATTTTATAAGTTAAATTGTCTTTTTTTTTAAACCAGGCTTTTATTTGGTTCAATCAGAGAACACATTTATTTGAAAACACAACCTAGATGTGAAAACCTAAATAGATTCATGTAATAATACAACATAAAGCTTTATAATTTTATTAGTTCCCATATCTAGTTTTGATAATGTCAGGAATCCAGTTTGTGTGGTCTGTTGTTTGTGTTAGTCTCTCCCTACACCACCAGGTGGCGCCCTGTCCTCGTTGGTCCTCCCTGCACACCTGCATCTCCGTGGATTAGTACTTAAGCCATGGACTGTCACTACCTTGTGGCCAGAGTGTTTGCCAGTTTTGGGAAGCCATCCTGCAACCTGGATGTTTGGCCTTCTTCCCCTGGAAGGATTGTTTTGTGTTTCACACTGAGCAGGGGATTAACCTCCACACATCTCATTCAAGTTCTCTTGGAATTCCAAGTGGCAGTCCACTCTATTGCTCCTCCGGGTCCAACGAATGTCTACCTGTCCACTCTCCAATGAGTCCCCTCTTCTCTGGATCAACCCACACTGACTGGATTTCAAAGCGAGAGAAGAACCCCCCCAGACGGGAGTCCCTCACTAGCATTAACCTTGCGGCATCCAAGATTCCCACGGTCCCTGAACTAATCTTTGTGATATCCTCTCAGACTTTCTAGTTCCTGTTCAGCAGCCCTCTGAGTTCCAGATCCAACCCCCTCTACCCTTACCTTAATAAACCTGTTTAACCTTTTGCCTTGCTCTCTGAGTGGTTCTCTGCATTTTGGGTCAGACCTCTTAAACACATCATCACAGATAAATTGTTTATCAAAACTAGATTGTTTCTTGATTTATCCTTATCCTCTTAAAACCCACCTAATTTCCTCGCCTATTTTGCATACCCAAATGGAAAAGCAAATAACCGAGGAACTGTAACCCAAATTTCACGTGTGATATATCATTTGAAAGGACAAACAAATATAAATAAAAAAGTGACTCAAAGTTGATTTTTTTCCTCTTGAAAATAATAGGAAATGCTAAAGAATCAGCATGTCTCATTGAATTACATTTATTCTACATCATGTCAACCCAAATTCAGAATATTTCAGACCTCTAGCTACAACAGTTCCAGAGCTGTGGGGCTTTGAACTTTTGGAGTCACCTGCATCTCCAAACCTCTCCAAATGTGCCAGATTGTACTGAATGCTTTACTCAACTATTTGACCCATAGAATAACATTTTGAAGCATTTTCCTGGCCACAAAACATTTATGAAGCAAGTATTTTTCCACTTTCTTTTTTTAGAATCAGTGTATATCACAAAATGAAAAAAAAATTCTAAACCTAAAATTAGATAAAAATCTATCACAACCATAATAATCTTAATCATAATCATAAAAAGCTTCTGAGTTATTAGTTGTAAATGCTATAAAAACGTTCGCCGGCGATCAGGTGGGTTTTGAGAGGTTTATATCAATCTTTTTAACAAATCTGCTGTAGGATCATTGTCTTCCATCAGCCAGTTTGGGCCAAACTTTCAGGCACCTTGTTGCACAGGGGAGGTCATCTTCACAGTTCTTCAGTTCATTGATCTGTTTTAGCCAATGTGCTTTGTTTTTTTAGTATTTATTTTGTTTTTTGTTTTGGTTCATTTAAACCAAACTTTCCAAACTTCTCCTTCCTTAATCTTTTAGTGGAAAAAGGAACATTTCCAAAGAAGCCACATTTGTTTGTTTGCTGTAAACTTTAATATTTTATATGCTAACCGAGGATGGAGCTGCAGAGGTAGCCTTTTGGAAATGGACTGATAACCCCAAGCTGCTATATTGGCAACCAGCTGTTCCTGTCCACTGTGCCTGCATGCTTGCTCAGGAGGATGGCTGTATGCAGAGTGACATCCAGTGACTTGATGCATCTTTTTAGAGAAAACTTTGTGCCAGCTCTGAATGAATGATCAACTGAACAGCAACAGTTTACCATACTTGTGGGTTAGCTATGATATGACATCTGCTGATGTACAAACAGAATAGAACAGAACAATAACTTTGAGCACTGCTAATGTCTTTCCATCCTGGCATTGTGCTCGTGCTGGTTAATACACACATGCATGCCAGGAGCTTAGCTTGACGGGGGGACATCTAGCTAAGCCCCTTAGCCACTCACTGGCCTCCCCTAATTCACCGCCTTCTGAACAGGCAGCTCCCCTCTAAACCAGAGGGTGGCAGCAGTGATACCATCAAGTGGAAATTCATGCATTTGTAAGTCTTTATTTAGACTTTAAGATGCATGTCTACGACTCTTATATTTCATCTCCGTCATAAAGTAGTTTTCCCAAATTTGACTGTATGATCTGGTTGAACTGTAAAGTGCCTTGAGATGACATGTGTTGTGAATTTGGCGCTATATAAATAAACTGAATTGAAATTGAATTCAAATAAACTCTGGACTTAAACATATCTTCTGGGACCACAAACAAACCTAATTGGATAAATAAACTCTAGAAGTGAGCATTTACAGCAAGCATTAGTGCATGTTTTTATAAGATAATCCTCCCATGGAACTCGAAGCCTAAAGAAGATCATCTACTATATCTTTAATTCAGATAGCTTAATGTGTGACTATGTGTTTATTAGCAAGGGCCTTAGGAAAAGCTGGTCTTTCTTCTGTCACTTATTTAGAAAATACAGATAATACAGAAGTGCTGGTTAATTTTCTTGTTGGTACAGTGTAGATCAGAGGTCACGGATCAGTGGACCGTGGTCCGGATCCGGACCCAACCTGATTCAAAACATTTATAAATTGCTGCATGTTGTCCAGGGTCTAACTTCACCTGCGCCGCTTCTCCTGTTAATACGGTAAAGTCCTCCGGAGCGTCCGGCACCAGGCTGCACGTGATACAAATTAGCCAATGAGCTGCTGTCAGTCTGGGTTGCTGCTGCTGCTACTTTTAAACACAGCAGGCAAACCTCGGGCAAGCCGGGAGATGGGAAAGAAGGAGAAGACGATGAGAAAAAAGTGAAAGAAAGTGTCGACTGCTGGAAGAAGTGTGGTGAACTGGTGAAAGAAAAGTGAAATGGCGTGCTCAAAGATGACCCTACACATTTAGAGTATGTTTGGCTCAACCTGCTGCTGTGAAGCAGGATTCTCCACCATGAACAGAATCAAAAATAAATATGGATCCAAGCTCAAAATGAGCACCTTGATATGTGCTTGAGAATGGCTTTGTCTCCATTCAAACCCAGGTTTAAAGCCTTGCAGGGCAGCATAAAGCCCACTGCTCTCATTAAGCCAGAAAAAAGAAAGAAAAATAACAAACGGTCAGTTGAGGTGTTTTATAAAATCTGTGAATCAGGAAATTGTTTATATACAATTTCTAGTTCAAAAACACTTTAGATTTTAAAATGGAAAAAAACTCATATATATATGTATATATATATATATATATATATATATATATATATATACATTTTTTTTCTTTATTCAAAAATTCAATGTATGACATGGATGCAGAAAAACCTCATTTTATTTCAGTGTTTAATTCTGTTTAAAGTAATCTTAACTGGTTGATGATTTCCTTTATTCAGACCCTGCTGATTTTTAATCGGTTACCCCTGCTGTAGATTAATCCTGAACTGAGGTTGGTGCCTATAGTGCCTTTAGATGGTGCCATGAAAATTGCTAATGCTGCAGACCAACAAACTACTCAGACACCCAACTTTTTCACTTTCACCTGTTCAATCAATCAATCAATCAATCAATCAATCTTTTTTTAATTAGCAAATGCTGCTGCTGAAGTAGGAACGTTGCAGTAGATTTTTCTACATATGAATTTTCTATTTAGTTTTATCTTTCCTAAATAGAAAAGTAGATTTTAGACTTGATTATCTGATTTTGTGCTCTGTTTTAGACTTGTATATCAAAAGCTCCTACAACAACCTGACTGAAATGGTGAAATGTATTAGTTCTTTTTTTTTATCCAGACTTTGTGACTATACACCTAATCTGTTACATCATAAAGAGTAACGGTAGTAATGCCTTATTTCAAGACCAAAGCAAGCCCACAGGGGGCGACATAAGAACATGGCTTAGACTGTAGAAAAAGCAACACAGATTAAAATAGGTTCAAACATTTGGAGAGTTTTTTATTTAAAAAAATATACATAACTTTATTTTATTGGGCTATATCAGAATGAAAACGTAGGAAATGTTTTATGTGATTTTCCTTGAATTTTTTAGACAGAGGGGACTCTGTAATGCCCCCTCTTTCTGAGTGAGCCTTCGTTGTATTAATAAAAAGCATTAAATCCTGCAGCTGCTTATCAGGTATTATGATGTGGAGACTGGGGCGGGCAGAGGCGCAGCTCATATCCTCAGCCTTCAGACCCAGCACCTCCAGAGCGCTGCTGAGCGTCAAGCGAGACTGTGGGCGAGAAAAAAAGGGGGTTAGACTGATTACAGTTCGAGGAGAGCAGACTGCAGCAGACGGAGCGCACACGAGTTGTATAACAGGGATTATTTCCTGACAGCGGGGGAGACATTAAAATGATGCATGGACTGCGCGTAAAAATCCACAAGATTCCTTTGAGGGGTTGACCGACGGATGAAGGACTGGGCCAAACTCCAGGAGAAGCTTTTTCATGCAAATTCGTGAAATAATAGGCGTGCCTTTGGGCGATGGAGTCACAGCCAGAAAGGAAAAGCCCCTCAGTTGGATCATCCGCGACATTCAAAGACGGTGAAGCGCGTTTCACGGACGCACTGAGGGCTACGCAGGGGCGAATGGTTTAAAGCGACTTTCTGCAGACATTCCTGCTAAAACTCTGCTTCACTTCAGTTGGATCACTACTAAAAACTTAAACACTTTCATTTATCAACATTTTTATTATTATTTTTTTTAGATGTTTAAACCAACTCTGGATCATTTCTAGTAGCCCTGATGCAGTTTATACTACCGATGCCTTTATTTACAAGTTTTTCCGCCTAAAGATTATTATTATTATTTTTTTCTTGGGAAAACTTAAATTTTTTTCTAAAACCCGTTAAGGATTTTTTTTTTTTAGTTTAAATTTTTCTTTTCAGCACCATGTCCGAGGACGACAGCCGCTCCAGCCGCGGCTGCGCGCGCGTCACGGAGGACAGCAGCGTCAGCGTCCTCAGCTGGGAGCAAGTGCAGCGGCTGGACGCCATCCTCACGGAGACCATCCCCATCCACGGCCGTGGGAACTTCCCCACGCTGGAGATGCAGCCGCAGCAGATCGTTAAGGTGGTGCGCAGCCGGATGGAGGAGAAGCAGATCCACGTCCGGGACGTCCGGTTAAACGGATCCGCTGCCAGCCATGTCTTACATGAGGACAGCGGGTTGGGCTACAAGGACCTGGACCTGATATTCTGCGCTGAAATGAAAGGCGAGAGCGAATTTCAGACAGTTAAAGACATAGTGTTGGACTGCCTCTTGGATTTTTTACCCGACTGTGTCAACAAAGAGAAAATAACCCCTCTGACTTTGAAGGTACTTCCTACTTTACCTGCGTCTGCTTCCTGCTTTTTAAGCAGTAATAAAAAAATATCACTATAATATTACCACATATAATAAAAGTAATAAAAAAAAGCAGTGTAATTAAATGTTAAATTCTCCAGCAGGATCTCACATTTCTTTAATTAAAAGGCACCAAAATGAAAAGAAAGTCCTCCTGCCTTCAAAAGTTTTTTAATTGCACAGAGACAATATTTTAATGAGGAAACTAATTTTAACTGACAGATAAAAAGATAAACCTAGTCTCCATTTAACTTCTGTGATGTCACTACAGGCATATGTGCAAGCTGGTTTGTAGGATTTGGTCTTTTTTCTTTTAAAATAATCTAATAGAAATTAGTCTATAAAAGCTGTAATATGTTAGTTGGATGAAAAGTGCAGAGAGTTTGTAAGTAGTAGTGAAATAAGAGTTGAAAGGATAGAGATAAACTCCCTACCTCTTAGAAACACATGTACTGTGTGTTATATGAAAGGGATTTCCTATCAGTAAAGGCACAATTCTGTGTATGATTATAAAAAAGTTATTACAATAAAACATACAGGGGTGATTAGGATTGTTTTATGGAATTTTGATTGTGTGATAATGGTTAATATTTCCCTTCTTCTTTCTCACCCTGTCACACAAACCTGCAGGAAGCCTACGTGCAAAAGATGGTGAAGGTGAATAATGACTCGGACCGCTGGAGCCTTATCTCGCTCTCCAACAACCGAGGAAAGAATGTGGAGCTGAAGTTCGTGGACTCCCTCCGGCGGCAGTTTGAGTTCAGCGTGGACTCCTTCCAGATCAAACTGGACTCCTTGCTGCTGTTCTACGAATGTTCCGAGAACCCCATGTCTGAGACCTTCCACCCCACCATCGTGGGCGAGAGCGTCTACGGCGACTTCAGCGAGGCCTTGGACCACCTACGTCACAAGATCATCTGCACCAGGAACCCTGAGGAGATCCGAGGCGGGGGCCTCCTGAAGTACTGTCACCTGCTGGTGAGGGGTTTCCGACCAGCCTCGGAGTCTGAGATGAAGTCCCTGCAGCGCTACATGTGCTCCCGCTTCTTCATTGACTTTTCGGATATTGGAGAACAGCAGCGGAAGCTGGAGTCCTACCTGCAGAACCACTTTGTAGGCCTGGAGGACCGCAAGTATGACTACCTAACGACCCTCCATGGAGTGGTCAATGAAAGCACCGTGTGCCTGATGGGACATGAGAGGCGACAGACCCTCGGGCTCATAGGCATGCTGGCAGTGCGAGTCCTGGCAGAGCAGAACGTCATCCCAAATGTGGCTAACGTGACATGTTACTACCAGCCTGCTCCTTATGTAGCAGACGGTAACTTCAGTAACTATTACATAGCGCAGGTGCAGCCGGTGTTTACCTGCCAGCAGCCTGCCTACTCCACATGGCTGCCCTGTAACTGAGTTCCTGAAAGGGAAGGAGGAGGGCAAGAGTCTGATTTCTTTAAACAGGAGCGAGCGCAACTGTTACGGCCTCAGATCTGTCCACGGCATTTTACAGCTGACAGAATCAGGTTCTCTGTTTAATGTTTTGCATCAAAGCTTCTGTTTTAGTTCATACATAATGTATGAATGATACATCCAAAAACAGCTGCCGTGTTTCAAAGTGAATCTCACATTACTTTCAATCCCCAACCTCGCCTCATCCTACCGAGGCCAGACTTTGGGGGGGTGGGGGGTTGTAAGTGGTTAATTTTGGGTGCATTGGAAGCGACGGCTGAATGGAAATTAGTGCCTGCCTTGAAGTGTGTAGCAGAACTGTCACAGAGACTGATTGAATCTGTCACAAACTAATTAGGCTGCAGATCGAGCGGCTGCATCAGAGTCCCGAAGCTGACAGCTACTCCAGCAAAAGCTTTTATGGGTGGTCTTTCTCAGTGCAAATTAACACACTCACACACAATTTCAGGATGAAAACCGTCCTGTTTTACATCATCTGAACCGCAGCCGGTTGCCTTTTGACTGGTTAACTATGTCCGCCTTGCACCTTTCTAACCAAAGAATCTTTATGGACCGCTTCTAAACGTTACAACCCCGATTGTGACCTGGGAAAACTGAAAACAACTATAGACATATTGGTTTGTTTATGTGAACACATTAGTTTCTAAGTGCCTCTAGCCTCTGAGCGGACAAGGAAAGCAGTAAGCAAGCCATGTGACCCCAATCTTGTAACACCCCCATATGCTTCTGAATGTATATGTGATATCACACAGTCAGTGTTGAGATAAAAAAAAAAAAGAGCCCAGTGCTTTGGTGTGGTTGTTTTCATTAAAGTGGTTGCCAAGCATCTGATTGAGAGGTATTTTGTAATGTTTACATTCTTCAGATTGAAATGTTATCCTCCAACCAGCGATATCCTATCTGAGTACTGTTGCAGCAGTTGGGAGAAAGGTCAGATCATCAGCAACAACTAAACAACTCCCAACTAGTATCTTATCTTCTGTGAACTCGTACAGTGGTGCTTCTCTTTACCCTACTCTAAGAAATAAAAGCAGATCAGAAGGGTTTGACAGATGCCCTGCTGTGTGTGGTCCCCAGGCTTCATCCTATAATAGTAGGACGTTTCCAGAGGCACCTTGGATCTAGAAATTCAGTTTGCTGTAACAACCTCCAAGGGAATTCCTCAGCTGCTGCTGGAGGGCTGGAAAAAACTCAGCCAGGGTCGGGGCCCACAGGTTCAGGAAACTACGTGCCAAACATTTCATTTATACCCCTAAAGTTTGATAAACCGCCGATGGGAGTGCCGACCCGATTGAAGGAGTGGAAACCCCCGGGGTTGGGGTGGGGTGGGGGGAAGGAGTGATCATTCTGGAGATATGGGTGCAGCTGGTGATGGGGTTTATCTCTTTAGGGCTACCGCGCTTTGCTTTAGAACCTGTTACATTGCACGCTCACATTAGCTTCTAGCAGCTTGCAAACTTCATGGCAAAACTCAAATGGTCTATTTACATTATTTTATCTGCTATAATGAATGTTAAAAAACAAAACAAAACAAAAAAACAATGGTGGAGGCTGAAGAACACCCCAGCCACAGGAGATCTCAAGTTTCAACATAACTTTATGTTAATTTTAGTATTCATCCAATATATATATATATATATATATATATATATATATATATATATATATATATATATATATATATATATATATATATATATATTTCGAGGGAACTAAGGCACTTCAGGTTAAAGGAGGAACTGTATTGCAACTTCTCAAAATGGCGGAATGTGAAAACAGATTTTCACATTCCGCAAAAATCACCCACAGTGTTGCAGGTTTTATTCCACTTGTATCAATTGTTTCCTCTAAAACCACAATTTATTCGATGTTTACATTTCAGCTCTGATCTCAGTTGCTTCCGCTCAGTTGCTGCCCATGTTGATAGATTGTAAAGGCGATGTTCGTCAGTCTGCACTTAATGAAGTCCAATTAGCTAGCTCCGGTTTGCCTGCCACCTAACGGTTGCTAACTTGTGTTTAAGATTGTGGGTTTCAAGTTTCTGTTTATTTTTTGCAGACTTTTACAGAAAACATGTTCAGAAAGATCCCTGTCCTGTATGTATATTTTTTATGATCGTACTTCTTATAAATGTATCGGACACTGCTGATGTTGCGGTGCTTTTGAATCTGTGATTGGGCTTCAAAGGATATGTTCTCAATAGCTGTTTTTTTTTTTTTTTTTGCTATGTTATGTCATGTGCTCAATTGGTCAAAAGGTACAAGATGTTTTATTCATTAAAAAAAAATCTAAAAACCTGATTCATCATGTCTTTTATTAGTCATCTGTTTGGATCTAAATTTGGCTCATTCCACACTGTTCCCAAACAGCAGACGTTGTGCTGTTTTTTTTGTTTGATTGATTGATTTATTTTTTTGCTGATTTAAATTGTGCAATGATTTTTGAGGTGGGTTTTCTGCCATGGGAAGCAAATCCACACAGCAAGTCTCTGGGTCCAGGAGGTCCAGCCAGAACGCTGTCCAGAAACAGCAGTTGTTGAATGTGAGGGGATTTGAATGCACCAAAAAAAAAAAAAAAAAAAGAACATAGCTTTAGTGGTGTTGAGATAGGATCCCAGTTTTCATCTGCTAAATGTAAAAAAAAAAAAAAAAAAGAACTCATCAAATTCTCTTTTAACAGCCAGCCACCCAGCATTTACCATCAGCAAATATGTTGTCTGCCCAGTGATCATCACTGAGTCTCCCTGTTTCTTGCACTGGAAAAAATCAAAATCAAGATAAATATTTTTTTCTTAAAATAATTGCATTTTTGCATTTGTGCACAATTTACATTTAAAATGAGAAAAAAAAACTATTTCATTGTCTTATTTCAAGTGTATATTATCTAATTACCTTATTTTGAGAGTAAAAATCCTCCTTCCATTGGCAAATCGTCTTATTTACCTGCTCAAATTAAGGGTAAATACACTTAATTTAAGATATTTTTACTTATCTTTAGATTGTTTTTGCAGTTTGGGCCTGTGGCTGTGATGAAATTGCCACATAAGTCACATGACACAACCTGCCCTAGATTCAAATGACTACAGAGGAGGAAATACGGTCCTAAATATAGAAGATGTGATAATATCATTCCACATAAGCTGTATTTACAGCTTATTAATCTAAGCCATTAGCGGAGTGACTTGCAGATCCATGCTTAGCAGTCATGTAGAGGAGATGTTGTCTATTGGTTTTTCTTTTGGGTTTTTCCTTTCCAAAAACTAAAATCCAAAAGAATGTGACAGGTTTTCAGCTTGCCTTTAATATGCACCTCCAAATCAAAACAGAATGTTTGAACATGACTCCTCTGAAGTCTCACCAAATTATGATCAAATGAAGTCTGGATACACTTTGGCATAGAAGAAAGACTTGCTTCATATTTTATCCTCACATGTTGCTGGGATTCCTCTGGAATTTAACCTTTTTTTTTTTACCACCAGATGAGACAGGTTGGATGGGTTTATCTACCAATTCCTGCTGCCAGTTCCTGCTGGCTTTTTTGTATTGCTTTACAGAGAAAAACTCAGAATCTGCCACTTGTAAAATAATGGATGCTTTAAAATCAGAGAAATGTGACCTAATAAAGAACAAAATAATTTTTTTCTTAACAACCAAAAATAGTCTTTCCTGTATTGGTTTTTCTTGAACAACAAGGAACTACCTCATGTACTGCATTCTTCAGATTATTGACTGATCCCACTTGCTTTTCTGTAAAAGCAGATCAACCCTACTATGGCTGAATTTATATATATATATATATATATATATATATATATATAGATATATATAATAAAAGAAAATAATTGCTTGCCAAAGATTCCTTTACCCACTGAATGTGTAATAACTGGCAGCTATCTAAAGTTGTTTGTGTAACACAAACTGTTTGCATATTTGCAAAAATTTGCATCAAGGGGGCAATAATACCGGATAACATTGAGTTTTAGGAGACAAAAAAAAATCGGAGGAATTTTCTCGACTTCTCCTTTTTAAAAAGAAAAAAAAAAACCCACCTTCATCCAAGGTGACTGTGTCTATCTTCAACAGTCTATAGGAGAAAGGCGCGGTACATCGCAAGGCAAATGGACATGTGCACATAACGTATACATAAGGGCAAATTAGTGTCATCAATCAGCCTAAACAGTCATGTTTTTTGGACTGTAGAAAGAAATTTGGAATACCTGGGGAGAGTCCATGCATGCACCTGGAGAATTTGCAAACTCCACAAGAAAGAGCCAAGAGGGGATCCAAACCAGGACATACTATACTTGCTGCAAGGCAGCAGGACTGCAAACTGCAAAACCAAACAGCCTTTAAAAAAGAAAAGAAAAACACATCTTTAAAGTAAAACTGCCTTTTTGAAGTGAGGTTCTATTAAAAGATTATATGCATTTTGATCAATCTTTTGGCTTTATTCATTTACTGTGCATTTAACCCTTTAAAGCCAAGTGTATCATATCTGATAAATGAGCTTTTGAGACTTTTGCATCATCAGTGTGATATTTTTGTTCTTGAAACCCCTGACTTACACAATCAGATGCATTCAGCGAACAGAAAATGTGTAAAAGATTATACAGAAATGCCTACTTTATCAAAACTGATGCAAATTAATGCTATAATTTAACTTATTCAAAAAGTATTTTTTAAATTTCCTTTGTCAGAAAGTGAAATGACAGCTCTAATAAAAAAAAATAGAATTTTCTGTGAATTATTTCACTGGTCCAGGCTTTAAAGGGTTAGATGACTGGAACCAAAGGCTAGAAGTCAAAGCTAGTCCAACAGAAGCCAAGACCAAAGCAGTTTTCTACTATTCTCTAAATATTTATCTAAAAACTATTTTATGAGCTGTTAGTTTAGTTGTTTGTTGTCCCATGAGTTCTACAAGTCCTATTCTTAATATCCAGCATGACAGCCCTTAATCCTCTGTAAATGTCTTGTCCTATTTGTGGTTTTCTGGTAAGAAAACACAGTGATGTAAAGGCGCCTCTAACCCTAAATCTCTGCCTCTTAATTCGAGCCAGCATCAGATGAAGAAGCCCTCTTAATTTTAGATGAGCTTTTGATTTAAAGTTGTGAACAAGTCTCATCACAGAAGCTAGCTGGCACACGGAGAGAGTTACAGTAATTCACAATGAGTGTGCCAAGAAGGGTTTTCATAATTACCTGTTTACCTTCACATAAAAGCACAGCCACTTTTCTGCCATTCATCCTGCACTTCTCTGTTCCCCCTGCTTGTCTGGGAGCTCATCTGTTTCTAATGGCTTTTCCACGGCAGAGATTGGAGAGTGGCTGACTTCACGGGGTTTCTCTCCTGTTTTCCAGACCTTTTTCCTGTGAAGAAAATTTTTCCAGATGAAAGTTTTTTTATGGAATAAAAGGGCACTGTTAAGAAGTGTCTCCCACTCAGACTGAAGCACAGATTGTTGGTGAGGAGTGATGCCTTTTGTAAAGCTAACCTGCTGTTTTGGTTTCCTTTGTGGCTAAGTCTCTGAAAACCTATTAATAAAAACATTCAACATGATAATTTTTTTTTTTTTAGTTTTTTAAAACATTTATGTTACCACTAAGCAGACTGTATTAAAATACTGTCAACAGACCTTTCAATCTAACATAAATAAAAAAAAGGGTCAAAACATTTCCATCCATGCGTAAATGTCAGGTCTCGTTCTGGTCTTTTATTTGAGTTATACAACCTCTAAAAGTTGGCGTATGATCAAACACTGTTAAACATTTGACATTCAACAAAAGCTATTCAATAACAAATTAGGGGATAAAAATGGAGTGGAAAAATATATGGATAAATAATGAAAAATATATATATATATGTAAAAAATTATTATGGCTCAAATGATAGAAAACAAAGCGGAATTGTTTATGCTATAACCAAAAACCTTTTTGGCTTCTGACCAGCAGAATTCATGACTTAAACTATTGGTTGGTTTACAACCAATTTGCAAAACTCTTTTGAACTAGCACTCATCCTCGGCAGATGGACGCTCACACCGAGTCTGGTTCTGCCGGACGTTTCCCACTGTTAAAAGGGAGTTTTTCCTCTCCACTGTCACTGCATGCTTGCTCAGTGTGAGAGATGCTAAATAATCAAAGACTCAATGCGTTCTGCTGGTTTTACTTAGATAAAAAATTTTTAACCAATCCGATTGATGATTTGATGACATGTTTGGGGAATTGGCGCTATATAAATAAACTGAACAGCATTCAATTGAATTTTAACAATCAGTGAAATAATGAAAATAGTATTAAAAACCAATAAGGCCATATTATGTGGCCATACAAAAACAGGTTCCATTTGATTCCACTTGACTCAGTGGAAAATAAAGTATTTTTACTTGATCAGGGGCATTACCCTATTGAATGTTCCTCTTAGATGTGCCACTCAAAAAGTCAGGTCATTAGCAGGACTCTGAAGAACTTGGCTGACTTGTATGGAAGCCATTCATTTGTTTCAGGTGTGTGGAAGCAGAGATACATGTTAAAGGTCCAGGTTACTGGACCTCCACGGCCAGCATTGAGGAACCCTGGTTCATACTAATTTCAAACTT